TACTGTTGTTGCTGCTGCTGTTGTTGTTGCTGCTGCTGTTGTTGCTGCTGTTGTTGCTGCTGTTGTTGTTACTGTTGTTGTTGCTGCTGTTGTTTCTGCTGTTGTTGCTGCTGTTGTCGCTGCTGTTGTTGCTGCTGTTGTTGCTGCTGTTGTTGCTGCTATTATGATATTGTTGTTTTCGTTACAACTGCGCCATTATTTGACTTTGGAATATAATTTCACCTAACCTAACTTAGCTCACATAACTTATGATCAGTTAATGAACTCTTATTGGATTACAGGCCATTGTCTCATGCCCTCTAGAGGAGCTGTGCAAGTGTCTAACAAGTAAGAAGAAATCCAGGAAACACCGGCGAGGCTGCAGGACTGATTGGCTATCATGGATAATACCTGAAGTACTCAAAACACACGACGGAAGGTTAGTTAATAATTCTTTTCAGATATACTTATTTCAATAAAGTTAGTCACCAAAAACCTAGAAAGTTGTGATCGCTGAGAATCATGGGGAAATGTTTTATATCCAACAAGTAAAGCTTTTGACACAAACTGCAGCAGTTGAGGATGCTCAGAGGAGGTTAACTTGTAACTGGTAGAGGATCTCAAGTCCATCAACAGTTATCAAGCAGTTCAAACATGTAAAATGTATCTACCCATAATCCTTGTCTGTCTCAGCTTTGTAGCTTTTCAGGTGACTAACGTTATTGAAATAAGTGTATGTAAAAAACACGTGAAAGAGTATTTCATCCGATTCCCAACTGAATCACCGAGAAGTGAGTTGTGAAAAAACAAGGCGGATAGAGCTTTTTTAACGAACTTCGAGTTGTTTAGATGGGCGTTGAAACAATCTTTCAAGCGCTTGATATGGATTCTCAAACTATTAAGAATTCTTGGAGCAATTCAAAGCACGAGTTGCCCATCTTTTATGTTAATTGCGATCTCATTGCCAAAATTCCTTCACGCTAGTCTTTATGATTTAGAAAGTAGAAGGAAAATTTAATAATATGGGTATTGGTTTCCGTCTTGGACCACTTTGAATAAGGAATCAAGGAATCAATAGTGAGCTCACCTCCTACCTGGTCCCCTAGCTCTGACCTCTACAAAACCTCTGGGCTGATTAGGGCACGGCTTCCCTGCTAGCAGAGCCTATTTTCCTTTTGTTTTCGTGGGTTTGAGAAAAATAGACTCTGCTGATGTAGGACGTTATACTTGTCGCGACTGCGTGGAATAACTTAGGAGCGCTTTCATAATTTTGACAGCCGCTCTCGTCAAACAACGTTTGGCGCCACGGTGTTTTACATTTGCTCATGCGCACTACATGTACCCGGTTAAAAACCGGTTTTAAAACTGGTTTMGTTCGTCCACGATCGTGGACGGCCGTGTATCAAAGGAAACGCTCTACATCGGCAGAGTCTCCCTCCTTCCCGCCAAAAAGAAGGGAGAGAAAGAGGAGAGAGAAAGAGGAGAGAGAAAGAGGAGAGAGAAAGAGGAGAGAGAAAGAGGAGAGACTCTGCTAGCAGGGAAGGGCAAACAACGTTTGGCGCCATGGTGTTTTACATTTGCTCATGCGCACTACATGTACCCGGTTAAAAACCGGTTTTAAAACTGGTTTMGTTCGTCCACGATCGTGGACGGCCGTGTATCAAAGGAAACGCTCTACATCGGCAGAGTCTCCCTCCTTCCCGCCTAAACGAAGGGAGAGAAAGAGGAGAGACTCTGCTAGCAGGGAAGGGCACGGTTAACTCACAGATTGAATTTGAGTTTAGAGTGTTCAAACGCTAAATGTTTTTGCGGTGGAAGAACCAGAGAACCAGGAGAAAAACCTTTGAATCAAGGGAAAGACTTGTCATACTCTACTACCTCTACACCACCCTAAATATCTTATACCTGGTGTTTTCACCTACCATTTCTAACATCTCCTCTCTTCAGCCTTAGCGCATTGATAGACCGTCAAGCCTTGAATGTTTTGTTCAAACTAATGATCAACCAACCCGTTCCTCAATGGAGCCTTGTTTTGCATGTAAGTCGCTTTACAATATCTGTTTTATTTCCATTATTAATCCCTATTTATTATAGTTCCGATACCCCTTAGTTACCGTTGCTATTTCCCACAATGCAAGCTCTGATACAATAAAACCCCGCGTGTAAGAACCTAAAATTTAAGAACCTGTCAGGGTGAAAGTTACATTTTAAGCACCCTTCACATAAGAACCATTTCAGGATAAAATTTCAAAGTAGGTTCTTAATTTCCAAATATAAAGTCAATCTGTTTTATTTTCTTGTAAATAATAAAATACAGTACTCTGTATGTTAGAGTGCTTACACTGTGTCCATGAAATAAGACGCCCACCAATACAAGTACTCGTTTTCTTACCAAAAATTAAGAACCCATTTAAGAACGTTGATAGACTGATTTCAATATAAGCACCATTTATATAAGAACCTCGTCAGGCTGACTTGGAAAAATCTAGGTTCTCATACGCGGGGTTTTACTGTAATATACCTAATTCACTGCTTTTCCATTTCAGATCACGTGTCATTCCTTAGAGTATCATTTCTTAACATATCTTTTTCTTTTACTCCCATTTTCTTTGTTTATCGGTTGCGCATAAGAAGACGCACGAATATGGATAGAACTCAAGCAAAGAATCTTATTCTCAAGGGGATGACACATGGTCTGAAATGGGCACAACATTACGTCCAAATGGATTTGGTCCATTACTTAACCGTGTAGCAAAAACATACCTTTTTAACCTGGATGTAATTTTTAAGAACACGTACCATTTCTTTGTTTAACTTGCTCATGAGCAGGAATATGGATACGACTCCAAAAAAGAATTATGACTCCCCTTAGTTACCGTTGCTATGTCCAAGCTCAAAAGTTTAGCTAGGATGTAAATACAGTACCAGAACTTAAAACTGTGTTTTTAAAAGAAGAACAGACCCTCTTCACCCGGGCCTCATGTTCTTCCATTACAGACCACATGTCATTCTCTTGAGTATCTGTTTTTGTTTAACGGTTGCCTGTAAGAAGACACATGAATATAGATACAGCTCAAACAAACAATCTTATTCTCAAGAGAATGGCACGTGGTCTGAAATGGGAAAACATTACCCTAAAGGTAAAGAGGTCTAATACCTCTGGGTTTTTTTTACAGGCACTGTTGTTGCGCGACGCACGTCTGTCTGTCACCATCGTCAAATATGGCGGTAAGTATACGGAACTAGTTCTAAAGGTTAAGATGACTCATTAATAGAAACTCAGGTTGCGGCCGTGCCGTGCCGTGACCGTGGCGGTACCGCGTACGAGCATTTTCATTGGCGTGCTGTGATGGGTTTAAAAGATGTCGTCAATAGGACGTTCGCATGATGGCGTCATTTGACTACCACTACCAAAATGCTTCGCGAATTTTCTTTATTTAAATTTGTGTTCCCTCATGAGAATAGTAAGACAATTGGTGCTAATTAACTGAACAAAATAAAGTGTGCAAGGGGTTCTATAATGCAAGCGGCCTATTCCTCATAACCATGACAAAGGACTAGCGTCCGAAACGTCAGTAAGTTTTTTCATTTTTCACGGTGTATAATTTACCTTTTCATCATTACTGTTTCATTAGAAACACCGACGCAGCTCACACTAGTTTTTAGCTAGTTATATCTTCTTATAACCATGACGTGTGTTCTGATTTTTCACGGTCTCACAACTATACGAAACTTGTTGTCATACATTTCAAATGATTTCAACCTCCCCCCCTCCCCCCCCTGTTTTGCTGTTTCACAGACCTGTCAGTCATAGGCAGTGCTTCACCAGAAGACAAAGGCAACCCACACAGTGAACACAACCGATGGTTCAAAGAAGGTATCTCATCACCTGGTCCCCAGGTCACCTTGTCCAGTGCAGGCTTGGTGACCTCTCTTTATTACGTGTTGTTCCAGAGCGCCAGCCAATCATCAGCCGTGGTTAACTTCCTTATGGCGCTTGTTAATAGGTAATACAGAGGGAATCAAGGGTGGCGTACGTAGCAGTAGTGCACTCACCTCTTGGGTATCGGGTTCACTTGGTTCTGGAGCTTTTTCTCCCTCTTCAAAACAAACTACTCTAAATCCCAATTCTCGGTCTCACAAATAAGGTATTCCACTTTTCCCGCTCTTTCCGTTTTTTTCGGTAGACGCGTGTACCATTTGTCGAATTGAAAGTAAAAGTTTCCCGCTCTTTTCTTCTTTTTAAGCAGTGAATAAATTTCTAACCGGATTGATTGGTTTAAGAACCCTAGGTTTCCGTTTCTCGGTCTTCCGATTGAGGTAATCCACTTTTCCCGCTCTTTCCGGTTCTTTCGGTAGACGCGTGTAGCATTTTTCGAATTGAAAGTCAAAGTTTCCCGTTCTTTTCTTCTTTTCATCAGTGAATAAATTACCAACCGGATAGATTGGTTTAAGAACCCTACCTGTTTCGCGTACGTGCCCTTCTGTATCATCTGCGGTTTTCTAGCAACTCTTTTATTTTTCCAGGGAAGACAGTTGGAAGCTGTTCGAGGCCAAGGCTTGTGTAAAGGCTCTGGAGAAACACGAGGTATCATATATTAAATCTCCCTCGCAGCCTCTACCAGTATCGTCACGCAACGCTTTCTCCCTTGAGTAGCAGTTGCTTACCTTCACCAACGTTTGAACATCTGTATAATGTCTTTTTTATTCTCGTAGTTTCCTGTGTGGCTCAATTGTCTGTACGATACGTTGCAGCCGTATATTCTCAGGTGATGTTGGATTTTTTTTACATATCTTTACTATACACTCATTTCAATAAAGTTAGTCACCTGAAAAGCTATAAAGCTGATGCCTACAAGGATTTTGGGTAGATTCATTTCAAACGTTCGACCGCTTGATAACTGTTTATGGACTTGCGAATCTTTTACCGGTTACAGTCTCACCTCTTCTGAGCATCATCGAGCTGCAGTATTAAAAAAGCTTTGTATATATATGCTTTTTTGATATGAAAAGTTTCCCATGATGCTCAGTGATCTCAGCTTTCTAGGTTTTTCGTGACTTACTTTATTGAAGTACATTCCATATCCACTTATAGAGTACATTGCCACCAACCCATGGTTATTGTTTCTACCTCGTCACTTCATTTATTATTGATTACTGTTATAATCGTTGGTTACCAGGTTTTTGACGCCGTCGCTGCGACTTCTTTGTGAGCGCGATAAACCTCGCTCTAAGTCTTTTAACTTTACTTCCATGAGTTCCCTGCCTTGTGGATGTCCTTTTAAACCTCCATATAAAAGACCAGATAAAGTTAGAGGTATGAACTTCAATTTCTATCGCTACCCTGAAACAGCCTAGCTCTGGGCTGGTTGGAATTGAGGGTGTTGTTTAGGTTTTGCGGAGAGAGAAAACTAGAGCACCAGGAGAAATAATAATAATGATGATGATGATGATTTTCATCATCATTATCGTCATCATCATCATTATCATCATCATTATCATCATCATCATCATTATAATCATCCTCATCATTATGATCATCCTCATCATTATGATCATCGTCATCATCATTATCATCATTATCATCATTATAATCATCGTCATCATCGTCATCATCATCATCATTATAGTCATCATCATCATCATTATAATCATCGTCATCATCATCATCATTATCATCATAAATAATATTTAAGTATTATTATATTTTTATTTTCAGGTGAGACGGACATCATTTACTCTGCTTTGCGTGAATTCATTGTTCTGCTGGCAGATAATCTCAACACCATCCCTTCTGTCATCTCGCAGTTCATCTGCACTCTTCAAGGTACACATCAGCAGATACCAACAAAAAAGTGTGAGAAAGAAATGAAAGTAGAAGAATGGGCAAATCATATCACATTTATTCTAATAGACTCCTCCCGGTGCCATCCATTTATCTTGTCCCATCTAGCCATTCGTTGTCTTTCTCTTTTTTCTCTGCATTTTTGTCAATACATTCAACTTTCCACCAACCCCACCCCCCCCCCCCTCCCCCACGTCCGTCCCTTTCTCCTCACTCCCACACACGTTCATCCACGTAATAACGGATGTTTTTGTCTTCAGATTCCTTACAAATGAAGTCCATGGACTCGTCAAGCGCTGGGTTGAAGGTATGTCATAAGTTGTTGACGTATTGGAGTATCACACGTTAGGTTAAAATGTAAATGAACCTTGTTTATCTGTAACTTTTCTTCTTGCTGTAACTGTTCATTGTCGTTACTGCTGTTGTTTTGAATAGACATCTTTTCTGTTGCTGTAGGTTTAAATTCTTGC